GTATGCCTGAATGCTTGCTTGTTGATGATCTTTCTTATTCTACTAGATCTGCATTTGTTGTTTGTATATTATGCTGTCAAATGGAGATAGATTACCAGTCACCCATTGCTCGGCTCATGAACCAAAAATTAGTTACTATGGAGAACTTAAAATTGTTGGCTTTGTTCAGATGCTGCATTACTGTGCTGCAATACATCAGACAAACATAGGGGGTGTAAGTGATTGCAATCTGCAACCCCATGGACAGATAGACTCAACTTTACATTTCAGGGCTCTGCAGATTTCCTTTCAATGTTTTAAATGTTTGGTGAAATACAAACGTCCACTGTTTCTCATGCTACTGATGGTATTACATCTAGTGGATTAAATTAAATCCGCTTATTGTTACTCTGTCACACTATTTTGGTGGTATCAATTGAATCATGCCCGTTCCCAAGGAGTGCAGAGGTGGCATGTTTGCTGATTCCACGTGCTGAATCCTTATTAGTTTGATGTTGCATTTTTTAATTGTGTTTATGGTGCAGGGTCAAAAAGAGAATTGCCAAAGCTTATTTTCCCACCAGTGAAACTGCTTACTTTGACTATTACAAACTCTTCTGTAAAGAGCTATTTGAAGCTATTCCAAGAGAATTCAGTTGCATAGTAGACTGAATGGGATTTTTCACCCATTTAAATGTCAGCCATGCCACAGACAAAGCATGTTTGACTACATCAACGTTGGCTGCAGTGGGTGGCAATTTTGCTTTAACTGTACTTACAATTTACTTTAACTTGAAAACTTTGTTTCCAGAGGGGTAGCCTCTGGTAAGAGGATTGGAATAAACATAACAGTTTATGTAAAAACGCTGTCTTAAAAAATATCTAGCTCATAGTTTGCAAGGGCTAGGGGTAAAATGTCTAAAGGGAAGGTGAAAGTTCAACTTCTACAGTTAGTTACTCTGTATGGAATTGTATTCAACCTGAATTGCATTTCCCTACCTACATCTTGCGGCCATAGCTTTCCATGATGACTGCTCATGAGCTCAAGATGGCTACATAAAAATTGAGATTTCAAAATTACTGGACATTTTGAAAATGTAGGGCTAACCAGGTATTGGTGTAGGAGAGTTTAGTATTTTATTAGCTATAGATTATATTGCAAATCCCTGTCATTGCTAAAGCTAGCCAAGATGGATGATAATGTAAGCTGCTTCGGGAGTACAATTCAAACTGAAGTCAATTGGAGTTCGGCGATCAGAGCAGCTACAAGTCAGGGCACTGGATGGGGCAGGAGGGGTGGAAGTGCCCTAAAAGTGTGGGGGCCACAGGTGCCTGAACCGTGGCCCTGCCCCCTGTGCCACGCCATCCCCCAAGGCCCTGCCCTCGCACTGCCCTTCTCCCCCGAACTCCTGCTCCCACACCACCTCTTCCCCCCAAGACCAAGCCCCCCCCAATCGCTCCTCTCTGCCCCCTCCCCCTGCTGCTTTCCCTTACGGCCAGTAAAAAGTGGGAGGACATAGCTCTAGTCCCCCCAGCCTCCCTGTTCTGGCGCCCCTGGTATGGGGAATAGAACATAGATGTTTTTTT